ATGGAGCAGGGCTGTGCAGGACTGCGGGTATAGAGAGGCTATGAATGCTATTCTTTTCTTACTTTTTTTCTGGGTCACACCCGGCGATGCATAGGGGTTACTCCTGGCTTTGCACTCAGGAATTAACTCTGGAAGTGCTCAGGGGACCATATGGGATGCTGGGAATCGAACCCAGGTCGGCCGCGTGCAAGGCAAACACCCTACCCACTGTACTATTGCTCCAGCCCCAGAATGCTATTCTTGAGCACATCAACTTGCCATTTGTGTTTTGAAAGCATTAAATTGTATAAAACTCAAGGCTTTGCTGCTGTTGTGAACAATTTATTCATTTTAGTGTGTGTGTGTGTATGTGTGTGTGTGTGTGCATGCATGCGTGCGTGCGTGCATGCGTGTGAGGTGTGTATGGTGCAGTAGTGTTGGGAATGAAACCCAGCACCTCACTCAAGAATGACAAAGAGCTGAGCCACACCCACAGTCCTCCAACACAGAAAGAAACCATCACTATACTTGAGCTGGAGTCAGAACTTAGTTGGAATTTGAGGGCAGAACTTAAGAGGGTGAAGTGAGAAGACGCTGCAGAGCAGCCCCAGTCACAGAGGAAGAATCAATTTTCTGACACCTCCTTGCATTATCCTGGGGCTAAAGATCCTTAAGAAATGTTATACTGTTTCCTAAATTTCATTTAAAGCTTCTACTATCTTCAGAGAGTATTTCCCAACCATGATTACAGTCTGTATATGAATAGACATTTTCATTCAGAGCAGAAATTTATTAGTTACAGAGTATAAACAATTCCCCTATCCCCAAGCAAACTGGTGTTTTGTTTAATATGCTTAAAAAGTTTATTCTTCCTTATTTTTTTTTATAAATTTATTTTTACTTAAAAAAATTCCTAGCAGTGATGGGAATCAAACTCAGGGTCCTGCACAAAGGAAAGCGTGGCCTCGACTGTCCTGGCCACACCCAATCCCAGTCCTCCTTTTTGCTCAAGTCACTTGATGATATTCTAACCAGAGTTTTAGGAAAAATCACCTAAAATTCTGAGAGTATATATTAAATAATCCACCCTGGAGTGTATGCACTTTATTAAAATCTCATGAATGTTCAGTGTATTTAGCTTCACAGGTTCTATCAATCAAGAATGGCAAATAAAACCACAACACCCAATAAGAGAGAGAGAACAAAAGGGAATGCCCTGCCACAGAGGCAGGGTGGGATGAGGGGATGGGGGGTGGGAGGGATACTGGGATCCGTGGTGGTGGGAAATGGGCACTGGTGGAGGGATGGGTATTTGATCATTGTATAATTGAAACCCAAGCACAAAAATTTGTAAGTCTACAACTGTACCTCATGATGTCTCACTAATAAAAATTTTAAAAAAAAGAATGGCAAATAAACTTGTTGCAACTAGAAAAAAATAAAAACACCCACAGAAGCCAATGGGCTCATTAAGAAAGACTCCCCATCACTGCCCCAAGCACTGGGAATGGCAAGGACACAGTGGAAATACAATTCTGTGATCCAAAAGGCTAAGGGAAAAGAGAATATCCAAGGATCCACCTGCTCTATGCCATGTACCTTGTCTGCTTCTTTGTAGGGTGGAAGATCAAATACAGTGCTCCTCCTCCCTGTGTGACAGCATCCCACTATCACCCACTTACAGGGAGTTTGGACTAGTACCAACAGTCTCATTGGGAACCATCAGGCCACAGGGAGATGCCCAGACCCTTCCTTCAGGTCGACCCTAAGCAAAGAGAGAAGATGCAGATTCTTTGCTTTGTCGCCCCTTTTCTCTTCTACACTTTTTCTTCTCCCACTTTCATTCCTTTTTAAAGCAGTTTCTAAGACATCTGCATCTTAGCATTCTAAATCTTCTAAAAAGGTCCTCAGAGGCCACATAGCCCGGTCTCCTTCTGCAGAGGAGGAGGCTGAGGCCCATGGTGCAAATAACTTACTGGAGCTTCTGCAGCTAGCTCATGGTGGGCCTAGACTGAAATTCAGGAACCCTAATTTCCTCACCACTGCTCTACATTTCTCTTAGTGATGACCTTTCCTCTCCCTTCAGAGGCTGACAGCAGGAAGAAGAGCTTGTTCTGCATTCTGAGGAAAAAGGTGTCCCCAAGAGATAGCTCAGTGGGCTCCCAATGGCATGAGGGAGCCGGGTTCAATCTTCAGCATCACATGGTTTTCCAAGCACCCCTCAGAATGAGTGAGGTGCTCAATGCCCACTCCCACTTCGAGCTGGGAGCAGCACCAGGGTACCATCATCTGTAGCTCCATGACCAGTCAAACCAAACCTCAGAGACTGAGGGGAAAGAGCGTGACTAAGGAGAGAAACTGGTGTTCCTGGAGGAAGTCGGGACACCTGACAATTCTGTGATGAAACCAGTGTTGGACAAATGAAACCCTCATGTCCCTGTGAATTAAGAACAAGCTGGTAAAGGAATGTCACCTGAATGTTGAGTAAGAAACACTCACAGACAGGAAAATCTATTTTCTAGCCATGAATGGGAAGAACCAAGGTGCCAATCCCAGTCAGGACTCTTTCAGAATTAAGCTGTTGAGGAGAGAGACGCTGCCAGTGGCAGGGGCATGGCAATGAGATGCAGGATCCGTACCCAGGTCAGCACGTGGAACTTGGAGCCAGGCACTGGCCCTGCAGCCTCTGGCAGGTGCCAGCATCAAGTGGGCAATGACAGAGAGTGACCCTGGAGTGGAATCCTTAATGCCACACTAAGCTTTCTTTCTCCTCAGACCTCTGAGAGTGACTGTCTAGTTTGGGAGTAAACACATTTTTCAAATCTACTTGGAAAATGCCTTTTATTACTGCTGCACCATTGTATCTATATTTTAAAGGAAAAAGGGTCAGCAACCTTGCTCAAAGGGTCAAGTGCAAGCATTGCATGCCCGGATTTAATCTCTGATGCTACCTGATCTCTGTGAACCTCAGGGAGTCTCCTGAGCATTGTGAGCATAGAAGCTAATGAAAAAATTAAAAATTTGACATAAAAATAAAGTAAGACTCTACTAGACTTTTTTTTCCAATTCTGTTATGTTGCACTAATAACTTGAGGGGCCTGTCTTGAGTTCTGATGTGGCCAGAACTGAGACTTCCTGTCCAGAATGAGGATGTGATGGCTGTAGAGGAAGAAACCATTTTTTTTGCTCAGAGGCAACACTGAGGCAGGCACTCAGAAGCTGAGGATGGTCTAGCTGAATGACCAGGACCGGAGATGTTTCCAAGCAGACCTAAGTAACAGAAACATACTGCCTTTGGACTTCAGTTTTTAATAGTTACAGGGAAAAAATGCTACTTGCTATTATATTTCTCCATGATTTATAGTCAAAAGTATTTCCTAACTAAAATATCAAGTGCACATTCTCACTCACCCAGAGGCCCCGTCCCTAAACAAGTGAGGCAGGCATCACCAAACACTTAAAGAGAAAAGAGAGAGCAATAAACAGGTATCGATCCCAGTTGTGCTAAGAGAAATTCCAACTTGAGTAGATTGCAATTAAAATAATGGAGAGAAAAACATCCCAAACCAAATCACCGTTTCTCTGACAAGAGAGGAGCTTTGTTGTGACCCAGAGGACTGATCTGGGAGCTACAAATGGAGCAAAGGCTTCAGGCACACATTTATAAAAAATTATTCTTGAAGAAATGTAGCCTCTGGGCAAAACTGACTGGAATGAAACAGACACAGAGAGAGGGAGTTCAAGAGAATGAGCTGTGAGTTTAGGAATGCAGAAGCTTCAGGGAGTGAATGCAAATCATTGGAGCATTATTCTCATTATTTCTAATGGTTCTTAATAACGAAGGGGCAATGTCGGGTCTCCAGTTGACAGAAATGATCACAAAGTGCTCATAGCAGTTATACTAATAACAAAATATAATTTGACACTAAATTACAATTCCAGATATATAGCTTTCTGCACTCTCACTGCAGAGAAAACTAAGCCAGAACATCAATAAACAGAAGAATCCAATTAAGTACTTTTCCCATTTGGGGCCTATTAGAATTAAGAGTTTACAAGGATAGTGAGATGGGACAAAACAATTCAGTATTTACTGATTCAAAAACACCAAGGCTTTCATTGTAATATAATTTATTGTTATTTTAAAATTTTCAATATGAATGGTTTTGGTCATTTGGAGAGTGATCTTTATCATGTAAATTTTTTCTATATGTAGTCCTATATGAGGCCTAATTTCCCACAAACAGATTTACTTGTAATTTAATATTTAATACATGTACCTTTTTATGCTCAGAGTGTGTTTATAAACATAATTCCACATTCATTTACCCTTATAAAAAATTACCTATGATATTTGCCTACAGATACAAAAATATAATGGAAGAAATCTCTTCACAGATGAGCTGGGACAACCCCATGAGTTATTGGGCTATCTGGCTGATCTGGCTGTGAGCAACAGAATTTTGATAACTACTGACTGAGTTATCTCCCTTCTTTTAGAAAAGATGCTTCTAGAAGCAACCATTTTAATAAAGTTTGAACTGAAGTTAGTTTTTTCAGAAGCAATTGACAGAGAAAAAACAATTGTATTTCTAGTCCAGAAATCAAGGGCCAACCAAATTTTCCAGGGAATGCCTCCAAAGAATCAGAGTACCCATGGGCTTTGACAAGGATACCTTCCCTGATTCTTGTTTACCACTAAAGCAAGTGCTAGGTTGATCCCAGTTACTTAAACTGTGGTTTGGGACCCTATGTGGGCTTGTGTAACTGAATGGGCTGCAAAGCACCAGGAAACAATACAAGGTTTTGGATGCGCAGTGATCAAAAATGAATTAGAAAGTCAACTGAGTCATGAAGCCATGGTGTTTCTGGCAGTACTTGCTTGTGTTGCATTTTGTGGCCAAAAGGGATCATGAGTAGAAAATGGTTAAGAAATTTTGACATAGGACATCTTCTCCCCACCCCTGCACAGGTTAGACTGCCCCTAAGACAACGTGGAAGTATATTTCAAAGATACTTACTGCTGGTGGAGGACTTGTGGCTGTAGTCAGACCTGAAATACAAAACCGTAGTGTTAGTAGGATTAATATGTTTTTTCTTTTATTTGATTTTGTTTGGGGGCTACACCTGGCGATGCTCAGGGGTTACTCCCCTGGTTCTGCCCTCAGAAATCACTCTTTGTGGTGCTCAAGAGACCATATGGGATGCTGGGAATCGAACCTGGGTTGACTATGTGCAAGACAAGTGCCCTACCTGCGGTATTATCCTTTTAATTCCAACATTTTCTTTATTCAAATGTTTTTTTTAATTGAATCACAGTGAGATACAGTTATAAAGCTTTCATGTTTGAGTTTCAGTCTATAATGATCGAACACCCATCCCTCCACCAGTGCACATTTTCCATCACTACTGTCCCCAGTATCCTCCCCTCCCCACCAAACCACCCATTCCCCTGCCTCTGTGGCAGACAATTTCCCCATTCTCTTTCTCCTCTTTTGGGCATCATGGTTTGTAATACAGAAACTGGGAGGCTATCACATTTGGTCCTTTATCTACTTTCAGCACACATATCCTATCCCAAACGATCCTTCCAATCATCATTGACTTAGTGGTCCATTCTCTATTCCAGCTGCCTTCTCCCCCAGCTCATGAGGCAGGCTTCCAACTATGGAGCAATCTTCCTGGCCCTTGTGTCTACTGTCCTTGGGTGTCACTCTCATATTATGTTATTTTATATTCCACAAATGAGTGCAGTTATTCTATGTCTATCCCTCTCTTTCTGACTCATTTCACTTAGCACGATACTCTACATGTCACTGTCACTGTCCCCCCATTGTTCATCGATTTGCTCAAGAGGGTCCAGTAACATCTCCATTATGAACATCCACATTTATAAGCAAATTTCATGACTTTATCTTTCCTAACAGCTGCATAGTATTCCATTGTGGATGCATCAAAATTTCTTTAACAAGTTGTCTGTTCTCAGACACTCAGTTGTTTCTAGATTCTGGCTATTGTTCTTTACTACAATGAACATACAGGTGCAGATGTCATTTCTACTGTGCTTTTTTGCATCCTCGGGATATATTCCCAGAAGTGGTATTGCAGGGTCTTATAAAAACTCAATTTCTAGTTATCCCAATGTTTTATTCAAGCAAGCATTTTCAATAACCACTATTAAGCCATATTTAACTTATTAAAAAAATGGCACAGAGGCCAAGGAGACGGTTTAGATGCTGGATCACATGCCCTACACGCAGGAGGCTGGGGTTTGACTTCCAAAACTGCATGCTCTCCTGAGAACCCCTGTGAATGATTCCTAAGCACAGACACAGGGAAGTGCTGCCCACGAGCAGTACCAGGTATGGCCTAAAGCCAAAAAAGGAAAGAAGTGGCACAAGTGAAAACCTGGAGACTGTGTAGTGAAAAATAAAATTATTTTTATAATTTTATTTGAATTTGAGAGAAAAACTTTAAAAGCACTTTATAAAGATTATATTCACCACATAATCATTGTACCCCATTATTTTAAATACTGGCACAATTATTTTTAATTATTATAGTTTAATGACATATTCCAATGATGGGTCTCATTCTCCTAACCCTGAAAAAGCCTTGAATATGGCACTTTAAAAAAAAAAATCTCAAGGCTAGGACGAAGAAGACGTTACTGGCACCTGCTCGAGGCAATCGACGAACAACAGGGTGGTCGTGATCGTGATCGTGAATGACATATTACAATAGTATTAATGCTTATGGTTTTTCTGTATAATTACCGCATCTGACCACCACCAAACTGCCCAAACTTCACCAATGTCCTTATGTTGTTTTTAGTCCCCCTTATAAAAAGCTTCATAAGTTAGGACAAAGAGCTTAGTGGACTGAACACATGTTCTGCAGGCTGGATCCTGGGTTCAATCACCAGCATGACATGATTACCTGAGCACTGCCAGGAGTGAGACTCTTAGATGGGAGGCAAAATGGGTCCTGAATCATCCATTTTGCATGCAAAGTTTTGGAATGAAAGTTAATTTTTCTGGGGAGAAAGCTCAGAATTTTCCATCATAATTCTTTTTTTTTTTTTTGGTTTTGGGTCACACCTAGCAATATTCAGGTATTATTCCTGGGTCTGCTCTTAGGGATTATTCCTGGCAGTGCTCAGGGAACCACATAGGGTGCCAGGGATGAAACCCAAGTCAGGCAGGTACAAGGTAAGCATCTTACCTGCTGTACTATCTCTCCAGTTCCCAAATTATCAATAGGTTCTTGAAGGGGTTAATGAACCTGCCAAAAGCCACACCACTGCAGATGAGCTCCCTTCCAATGCTGGCTCCCTATTGCAGAGTGATCTTCCACTGCTGGCTAAGCTGCAGAGGGGGGACCGGGAGGGGGAGAGCCAGAGAGGGACCCTTGCTGCCACTGCTTCCCTCAAAGTCAGCTGGTCATCAGGAAACAGAAAGACATGCTGAATTTGACCTTGTAAAATTAGGAAAGAAAGCTGGGTGGCTATTAAAGGAACAGGATGTGGGGCTGTTGAGGAAAAGAGAAAAAGCAGTGCCAGGGCAGGGGTGAAACCACCCATCAGTTTCTCTGGGAGGAATTCACTGCTGCCTCCCATGCTGGGCATTGGGCCAAGACTCTGCCCTATTGTGGGTCCAAGACTTCTCCTCTCTGGAAAAGTACCCAGTATGGAAGCTCTCGGTTTGCTCCTCCCCAGTCATTCAATGTCATTCTTAAAGGTAAAAGGTAAAGGCCCTCCCGTTGATCGTCGATTTGCTCGAGCGGGCCCAGTAACGTCTCCATTGGAGACTTTGTTGTTACTGTGTCTGGCATATCCAATACTCTCGGTAGCTTGCCGGGCTCTCCGAGAGGGGCGGAGGAATCGAACTCGGGTCGGCCATGTTGGCCGCTTGTAAGGCGAACGCCCTACCCGCTGTGCTATCGCTCCAGCCCAGAAAATAAAAAATCTCTTAGGCATGTAGGGGTTGTTCTACCAAGATGGTACTTAGGTGTTATAAATATGCAAATAATGGTTAATTATGATTAATTTTAAAGTTGTACATTTCTTTCATTTAGTCATTTGTTGCTATTTTAAAAGTCCAAGTTTTACTCCATTGAGTCGTCCACATTAAAAAAAAGTGTATTAGAAAAGTTAAAAAAAAAAAGCAGGGTCCCGGAGCAATAGCACAGCGGGTAGGGCATTTGCCTTGCATCTGGCCAATCCGGGTTCAATCCCCGACATCCCATATGGTCCCCCAAGCACTGCCAGGAGTAATTCCTGAGTGAAAAAGCCAGGAGTAACCCCTGAGCATTGCTGGGTGTGACCCAAAGAGCAAAACAAAGCAAAACAAAAAAAGCATAAGAAACATGCTTTTTTGGTTGTTGCTTTTGGACATAGGTGGCATGTTGCCTCTGGGTCACACATATGGGACCAAACTTGGTACCCCTGTATGCAAAGCAGCCACCTCAGCCCTTGGAGCTATCTCCCTGGTCTGGAAGTCTGGCTTAGAATAGTTCAAATACCCTATACTCTTTACAGAAAATAATGTACTCATTTATTGATAGAGGAACAAAATGGAAGAAAAACAACATATGGTTTTCTCTTTTCAAATAAAACACTTTAGTAGTCATAGTATTACTACATTTTAAAACCAGAAAATATAACTTGTTAACATTTGCATATCTCTTTATGTATTAAAACATCATGTGCAAATACCCATTTTAATATCACTTATTAAGAAGTGGAAATGCTATTATTATGCGTGAGGAGACAGACCATTGAGGACTGAGAAGGGTTTGAACTAGGCGTTCAGGGAGGCGGTAAGGGAAGAGCAGAAGGTGGAAAAGACTGACTAGGGCAGCATTGCTTGGTAAGGTTCCATTACTCCCCATGGGCCCCCGGGATAGTCCAAGGGGACTGCAGGTGAAAACTGAGCAAAGGTGGGGAACACGACATGAGATAAAGGGTACATTAGTAGAAGGAAGAAAGGTTGGGATGGGACTACAGTGAGAAAAAGGTTGAGAAAACCTGCTGGGGCCTGCTGACTAAGGGGAACCAAAGGGAGGAGACAAAGGCAAAGAACATTCAGGAACTGTGTGTCTGTAACCCAGGACTTATACATTAAGTTCTTTCTGGAACCCAGCAAAACATAAACATTAATAAGACAACACTGAGAAATCTATGTATTAACACAACCATCATCTGTGGTTGTAGATGCAATTTCAAAACCATTCCATTAAAATATGATCTGCTTAAGATGGCAGGAGTTTAAGTTCCATGACAAATCATTGGAATACAGCATTCCATAAGATGTGTACGAGAACTGTTATTAAAATTTTGTATTTTCACAGGGGCTAGAGACACAGCACAATGGGTAGAGTGCTTGTCTTGTACCCAGCCAACCTAACTTAGATCCTTACCACCCCAAATGGCCCCCTTAGTCTTGCCAGGAGTGACCCCCCTGAGTGCAGATCCAGGAGTAAGCATTGAATTCTGCTGGGTGTGGCCCCTGAACCAAAAATAAAATAAGATAAAAATAAAATTTTGTGTTTTCAGCTAGAACTTTCTGACTATTCCTGAGGCAGATGGGATCCACAATGCATACATTTGAAAGCACTACATACAGATGGGTATGTATGTAGATTGCAATTTACATTTGAAGCTTATTTCAAGAATTTTAAAATGCAATGGTTGTCTCTTAGGACACGTGGTACTAGCATAGTTAATGCCCCTGCCAGGAATTCCTCTGTATTTCTTATGCTAAAAAACACTGCTGGGTCCAGTCTGCCCTCAGCCATCTCATCACACTTCCTTCCTCTACAGCACAAATCTGATCGTGCCATGCTCTGAAGTTCAGGCAACAGCACCAACATAAAGCCCCCACCCCTTGCCTCTGCTCAGCTCTTCAGTCCATCCATCACCCCAACCCGCATCCCTGTCCACCATCAAAGCAGAAACCAAACAGGAAAGTTTCCTCACACTGCACATTGCTCCCTGGTCTCTGAGTCTGTCTACTGAATTCGTAGAGTTGCCTTTGACTAACAGAGATACAA